AGACAGACAGACAGACAGACAGACAGACAGACAGACAGACAGACAGACAGACAGAGTGAGAGAGGGTTAATCAAAAGTCTACTTGAAACTTCTATTCAGAATGTATTTGATCCACTATGCATATCCAGGGTCTTCACTCTCTGTTTGGGCCACACGGGTTATTTCGTAATATCCTGTCAAATGTGGAGTTTAACTTATTTTACAACTAAGCCAGGCTCGTGTTGACGCTTACACAAAAAGAAATGTTTTTGAACCAAGTCAAGTAAGGGGTAGCCCGTATGACAACTTGCCATACAACCAGAGCTAAAGAAAATCCCAGGGTAGATTCGAACCATGGTCATATTTGAGGCGTGCCGACAAAATGAGTTACTTCTTGCAATCCACAAAAATGGAGATATTGGCCTAATACCGACACTATGGTCAAACGTGTGGATTTTTTATTGAAGCCATATTCTTTAACTATAACATTCCTTTTATTATTTCATACTTATAAATTATTGTAAAAACTTCCCCTTTAAGCAAGATGTATCTATTTCTATATTACTTAAAATCCGAGAAGTAACTCATTTTGTCAGCATGCTTCACATATCATACTCTCCTTAGGTAGGGCAATGCCCACTTTTGGTGTAGGTTTTCTGGAAACCGCCGAAATCTGGGTTGGCCCGCTTGTCCTTAAAAGCGACCCTATTATACTCCGGTCCACCTCACCTGCAGTAGTAGTTCTGCACAAAGTTGTAGTAGTCCTTGGTGTGCTGGCTGGGCTCCGACATCCTGTTAAAGAGTTTGGTGTCGTCCACCGCGTCCAGGTCGCGGTAGTCTGGCACTAGGAAGACTCCGGACACGCTGACCGCTATGTCCAGTCCGGAGAGGCGCGGCCAGACGAAGTCTAGGCTTTGCTGGTTGTTGGTGACGTACATGGGCGTCTCTAGAGCCTCCATGTCGACGAGACGCTCCAGGAAGACGTTAGGGGAGTGGCTCACGGAGATTGGGACACCGTCTGGGGGCGGGGGCGGGGGTGGGGGAGGGAGAGGGTTGGGGGAGAAGTGAGGGGTTAGAGGGGAGGGGGGAGAGTGGTGGAGAATCAATACTTGGTTTTGAGAAATCTGACGTCAACATTTTTTAAAAAAATTCCACAACATGTCAAGCTTTTTTAATGCAATTCTTTGAATATCTTGCTAACAACGATTTGATAGAGCAGATAGAACAGTTGCTTTTAAACTTTACAGCCTTAGTAACACAAAAAAGGCCCAAAACTGTCAGATAGGACTTTGTAATTGTGAGGTAGCTTAGTGTCGCAGGGTTCAGGGCGTACTCACCATCTGGGAGGTGGGACTTGTTCATCGGTAGGATGCCTACAGGGAACGACACATCTGGGGAGACCAGTGGGTTGTAGTTTGAGTAAAGTAAGTAAGGTAAGTAAGGTAAGCAAGGTAAGTATGGTAAGCAAGGTAATTATGGTAAGCAAGGTAATTATGGTAAGCAAGGTAATTATGGTAAGCAAGGTAATTATGGTAAGCAAGGTAAGTAAAGTAGGTAAGATAAGTTAAGGTAAGGTAAGGTAGGTGGGTAGGTAGGTGGGTAGGTAGGTGGGCAGGTAGGTAGGTAGGTAGGTAGGTAGGTAGGTAGGTAGGTAGGTAGGTAGGTGGGTA